GCTGAGACCCTCTAAACTTGTGACACATATGGGGACCTGCTGAGACACCCCCAAACTCGTGACACGTGTGGGGAGCTGCTGAGACACCCCCAAACTCGTGACACGTGTGAGGACCCGCTGAGACCCTCTAAACTTGTGACACATATGGGGAGCTGCTGAGATCCCCCAAACTTGTAACATGGGGCTGCACAACTGCTGAGACCCATCCACACTCATGACACACATAAGGGGAGATGCTGGGACCCCCTAAACTTGTGACACGTGTGGGGACCTGCTAAGACCTCCCTGATAAACTCATGACATGTATGGGGACCTGCTGAGACCTCTAAACTCGTGACACACATGAGGATCTGCTGAGATGCCCCTAAACTTGTGATACACGAATGGGGAGCTGCTGAGACCCCCTAAACTTGTGACACATGTGGGGACCTCATGAGACCCCCCCCAAACTCATGACACATGTGGGGACCTGCTAAGACCTCCCCCCCTAAACTCATGAGGTGTATGGGGACCTGCTGAGAGCCCCCAAACTCGTGACACACGTGTGGAGAGCTGCTGAGACCCCCCCCTAAACCTGTGACATGTTTGGGGACCTGCTGAGACCCCCTAAACTTTGTGACATGGGGGTGCACAGCTGCTGAGACCCATCCACACTCATGACATGGGGGCTTAGAGCTGCTGAGACCCCCCCCCCAAACTTGTCACACTCAAGTACAGCTGCTGCTGAGGACCCCCACACTCGTGACAGGTGTCTGTACAGCCACTGAGATCCCCCAAACTGGTCACACGTGTGTGGGGAGCTACTGAGACCCCCAAAAATTGTGGCAGGTGGGTACAGAGCTGCTGAGACCCCCTAAAATTGTGGCAGGTGGGTACAGGGCTGCTGAGACCCCTCCCAACTTGTGACATGGAGGTTCACAGTGGCTGAGACCCCCGCTTGTCACCGCTGCCTACAGAGCACCTGAGACCACCCCAGACTCACGACATGGATTCCAGGGTTGCTGAGACCCCTCCCCACACTTGTGACACGTGTGTGTGCAGCTGCTGAGCCCCCCTGCCCATTACAGGTGGGCACAGAGCTGCTGAGTCCTGCCCTGCTGGTGACACGAGTGTCCCCATGTCCCACAGCCTGTGCTGGGACCCCCAGAGTGAGGGGACACTGGGGGACACACACAGGAGGGGGTGTATCCCCACCTTGGAGCAGCCACGGGCCTCACACCTTGATTTCCCACAGATATATTATTATTATTAATTATTATTATTATTAATAATAACAATTCTTTTTCTGTAAAACCTCTAAAAATGGATAGAAATAAAAAATAAGGGGTGGAGGGGG